CCCCCAAAACCCCAAAACCCCAAAACCCCTATTTTGAATTAAAAAATTGTGCAATTTTAAAATATAAATATTTTAAAAATGTTTAGAGAAGACCAAGAGAATAGACCTGTTTCAGGATTCACTCCAAAAAGTCTCAATACAAGAAGCTCTTATACTAAAGGTGAAGCATCTGAGCTAGATAATGATCCTAATTCAGTGTCGATCATTAGAGAATTACTCAACTCAGATGGGGAATGGGCAACAGTTCCAGAAATTTTGAAGCTGACAATGACCGCTTTTTATAAGGTATTGAGCTCCCATTCAAGTACATTTCAAGAAATGGGGAATGCCTTGGTGATGAAGGCTAATAAAGTAGATGTGCAAAGTCTCCTAAGCTCAAAGCTCAACATAAAGGATTTTAAGCAAACAGTCGCTGAAGTGAGCGAGGATATTGAATCGAAGGCAAGCCTTAGCCAAGTACATAAAATTATTGAATCTCAGCTCAACTCAGGTCTAAGTTCAAGAGGTAAGTAAGTTATTAGTATCATTCTAGGATCAAAACAACCTGAGTTCTCTCAACAGCTAGAAGATCTACAAGTTAAAGTTAGAGACATATTCAAAGAAATCAATCTAAAATTGGCGGATTATGATCAAATTTTGAATGATCACAAATCAGAACTAGACAATAAGGCTAATATTGATAATATCAATGAACTCTTGAACAATAAGGCTAACAAGAGAACTGTAGCTGAAGCTCTCCATAGGAAAGCTAACAAAGAAGAAGTTGAGAAGATCATGGCTAATAAGATAACTGCTGAAGACATTGATAGAATTATTGGACAACTCAATGAGAAAGCTAATATTTCAGATATACATCACTTAGAGAACCTAATTGAATCTAAGACTGATAGAAATGAGCTCAGAGAGATGATACAGACAAGAAGTTCTCCTGATAAAGAAAGTGTAGATAGATCTTTCCTGAATACTCTTCAGAGGGAAAAAGACCTGAACTCAAGCAAGATTGAGAACCTCGAGTTAACTATTAAGTCCCACATAAAGAAGATTGATAGCGAGTTAAAGACAATCATTGACAACTTCAACTCTGGTCTTGCCAAAAAGGCTGATTTCAGAGATATAGAAGGGATCGGTGCCAACATCTACAACAAAGCTGATATTGGGTCTGTTACAGAGATGATTAGCGAAGCTAAAGACTCCATCCTTGAGAAATTTAGGAAAATTAAGGATGATTTCAACAACCAGAGGAAGGACATTTATGAAGAAATGTATGATAGGTACAATAAGCAGAGCACTAAGATCGAGAAATGTATTAAAGATGTAAAGTCTATCAAAGATACAAGTAAGGACATTAACAAAGAAAATAAGACCATCCGCTCTGATGTAAAAGGAATTATATTCAAAGAAGCTGAGCTCATATCTTCCCAAGTGAGAGAAGAAATCAACAAAGCCGTTGATGAACTTCATACAGCTAGAATTAAGATTGATCACGAGCTTTCTCAGAAGGTGAGGAAAGGAGACTTGGTTGAGCTCAAAAATGATGTGGCTCAAATGATAGATTCCAAGGTTGGAGAGTCAGAAGTCCAGACAGCTCTGAATAACTTACAATCGGACCTTGCTAATAGACTTGTAAATACTAAACTAGAGGTCCAGAATAACCTTTCAAGTGTTAAAGATAATATAAATCATCAGCTTTCTAAGAAATGCAATGTAGATGAGGTAAATGAAATGCTGAGTTGTAAAATGGACACTCACCATTGTCAGCAATTGCTAGAGAAGAAAGCCAATAAGGTCGACATTGACTCAATAAAAGGTGTCATTGACAGAATCATTAGAGAAGTAGATTTAAAAATTAGCGGGAAAGACCTTCAACATCATATTGATTTTACTCGTTCATCAATCGAAGATATGACAAAGGAGATCCTCCAAAAGGCTCAAGCAAAGGACTTGGTAAAGCTTGATGATGAGAAAGTAGGTAGAGATGAGATGGAAAGAATTTTTCAAAATATGACTAAAGAATTACAAGACAAAGTATCTTCTCAAGAAGTTAAAGCATCTCTTGATGAACAAGCTCTGATCAATGAAGCTCTTTGTTCTGAAAATTGATTAGGAAGATGGGTCTGGAAGTCAGGAGAACTGAAAGCATCTTGTTTAGTCCCATGGGAAATCCAATGAGTCAACACTTGCCCTGATAATTTTATATGGGAAAAGAATAAAACGAGCATTATCTGTATCTCTCCAGGCCTGTATGAGTTAAGTATGGGAATATTTTCGAAAAAGAACCCTAATGTTCAAATACAAGTAAATGGAGAAGGAATTTTGACACTGTTTAAAGATGCTGACACTATTGAGAGACACAATTCCACAAAAATAAAAGACTTAGGAAGCCATTCAGCAGGGAATATCACAGGATTGACACATCAAGATTACATCTCACTCCCAGCAAGAGCAAGGGTCTCATTTATATTCGATGGAATGAGCAAGGCAGAAGGTTTCTTGAGCCTCAAGAAGTTATAATCTCCCATATTCCACAATGTTGTTTTCTACAGTTTCTCTCAAAAAGGGGTTTTGGGGTTTTGGGGTTTTGGGG